TCTCCTGAGGCTTGGTGGTACAGGCACTGGTCACCCTTCTCCTTCCTATATTGTCTTCATTGTTTTCTTTAGGATGATTCTCATTAAACTTGGGACTTTACAAGAATGGTTTTCAATTTTTTTCCAACATCCTTAAAAGGTAGTTGGTTCTTTCAAGTGTAGTGCTTTGAAGGTTGTTTTATGGTCTGCTTGGGTCCTTTATATGAAATAGGAGTGTGTGGGTGTGTGTGTGTAATTTACAGTAAATGAATTACAATTTTTTTTTTTTGTTTTGTGAAATAAAAACATTTTGTTGACTTTAAAACTGTGCAGAAAATAGCAGTGAGCATTATAAGCATAGCTCCACTGCTTTCCTTTGAGCCTCCTGGAACAGTAGCCCAGCATGTCTTCCCCTCAACAAACTCTGTCCAAGCCTTCAATCTCAGACCCAGTTTTATCCACTGACTGTGCCTTCTCTTTTCTCTTTCTTTGGTAAAAAGTGGGAGTCTGAGTTCCAGCCCCTTCCTAGTCAGCAGTGCCTCCCTTTGCTCATGGGTGAATGGGGTCAAAAGCTAACAGCAAGACCTACATCCCTCCCTGGCCCTCTGCTGCCCCCTGTAGTCTGCAGTGGGACAGTTTCCAGAATCCCACGCATGTTTCGAAGTTCTCTGAAGTTCTCCTTGTTAGCTGACTAGATTTCTCTGTTGATGGTTTTATTTTTGTTAAATTTGTGGTTTTGAGGCTTTTCATTAGCTCCTCAGATGCCTGTTTCACATACCTCCCCAAGCAACATAGCAAACGGCCCTCCCTCGGGGAGCCAGGAGGAGCTGCGTGTGTCAGTCAGAAGGCAGGGGCCACTCCAGCCTCGCTCCTCAACTTGCCCTTGCTCTCCTGCCCTGTTCTGTGTCAGTATTGTATATGAGCTAAAGAAAGAGTGGGGCAGTAGCAGACATAGGCCAGAGCCCCTCCTTCAGCTGGAAGATGGAGACAACCCCAAAGGGCATTAATGTCCTTGAGAAACCATGGCTGGCTCCCTCTTGTCCCCCTGCCCTGGGCCTGCGTCTTGAGCCTCATTGCTCTCTTTTCTCCTAAGCTCTGTGCTGCTGCTGCTGCTGCTGCTGCTGCTGCTGCTGCTGCTGCTGCTTGTGGCGCCAGTGACAGCAGCAGATGTGGATCTAGGCAGTGGGAGTGGCTATTGGGCTGTTCCTCAAGTAGAAGGATAATCACACTCTGCACTCCAGGTGGAGGCACTTGCAGGGTGAAGGGAGACCTCAGTGGCTCAGGTTATCAGCAAATTACCTGAGAACTATTCATCCCACGTGTTCATCACAACTGCACACTTACACTTTGGTAGGTAATGATGCAGGAGGTGTTAGCAGGGTCACACTGACGCAGGAAGAGTGTGAGGAGACCCATGCACCCTGTTTTTTTAAAATGCAGGTCTTGAATTTAATGGGTTAAAGGAGCCTGGAGCATCTAAAAATGTCTTACCCATCCTAACTCATACGTAACACCCTCACTTAATGGCAGGAACTGTCCCTATCCTGAGATGCTTTGCAACGGCTGGTGACCTCAGGATGATCTCTCCCAAGTCTCACCGTGTTCTTATTTATTTATTTATTTATTTATTTATTTATCTATCTATCTATTTATATGTGCATGCCATTGCTGTCTTCAGACACACCAGAAGAGGGCAGTGGATCCCATTGCAGATGGTTGTGAGCTACCATGTGGTTGCTGGCAATTGAACTCAGGACCTCTGGAAGAACAGTCTATGTTCTTAACCACTGAGCCATCTCTCCAGCCCCACTGTGTTCTTTCTTGATGTCTAGATGTCAAGTCACCTGCTGAAGAAGAAGGGGTACCCATGCCTTTACCGTGCACCCCACCTCCTCTGAAGTCTACCCTCCTGACACCACAGACCACTTCCATACAATGTCTGGATCATCCCTCCCCCAGGGGAGGGTGACACTCCTTCCCCAGGGCGGGTGACCCTTGGAGGCCCGTTCTGTTCTACGACTGAGGGAGATCCAGCTCGCTGTCTCTGTCCCCTCCCTGTAGAGTAGAAGAGCCAATGATGGTGCACTTTAAAGCAATGCAGGAAAAGTCAGCTCATGGCTTCCAGGAGCTCAGAGCCACCAATGAGAACCGGACACTATAGTAACCACTTTGCTGCTTCCCTCTCTCCCCATCCCTGCAACAGCAGTGTTGATATTAATGTCATCCCCATTAGAGACCCAGGCTTTGGAAGGTTAAGTGATTTCCCAGCAATGAGGCACCCAAGAGAGTGGCAGAGTGAGGTTTAAATATAGCAGCAGAGCCCAGGCACTCAGCACTCCTCACCCTGCGTGGGCCGTGGAAGAGAGCGTGCCTCCATCATCTGTAGGGGGACTGGAGGGAGAGGGAAAGGCAGTGGTAACTGAGCAGCAGCTGGTTCCTATGCCTGTGACACGTCCTCTCCCCAGTAAACACTTGATGAGGACAAGGGGCACAGCTCTGCTGGACCCTAAGGCCACGTGAGTTGAGTGACTGCTACTCAGAGCCCTGCACACACAACACCTGTGTGTGCAGAGGGGGCCATTATCACTTTGCTATAAGAAGTGTCTTAATTACACCATGACCAAGGCAATGCTTATAAGGACAACATTTAATCGGGGCTGGCTTACAGGTTCAGAGGCTCAATCCAGTATCATCAAGGCAGGAATATGGCAGCATCCAGGCAGGCATGGTGCAGGAGCAGCTGAGAGTTCTACATCTTCATCTGAAGGCCGCTAGTGGAAGACTGACTTCGAGGGAGTTAGGATGAGGGTCTTAAAGGCCACACCCACAGGGACACACCTAATCCAATAAGGCCACACCAACTCCAACAGGGCCACACCTTTTAGTAGTGCCACTCCCTGGGCCAAGCTTATACAAACCATCCCAAGAAGGTCACATTCCACCGTCCCTTCCCAGAGGATGACATTACAGCAGACCCCTGAGTGGGCCCCAGGTCTTCTGGGCTCATCTCCACACAACCCCATCTCCTGTTAGGAGTCTTGGGCATTTGTCTTCTAAATCTAAACCATTTAGGAAACAATTTGATGTATGCCCTTCACCCCCCCCCATTAGAGGAAATAGAAAATTACTACTTTGCCCAGCAGTCATCTGTGGTCAATGTACCTTCAGACTTTTCTTTCTTGGGATTAAAACCAAGTCCTTTTTCCTGAGGGCTGGGAGGAAAGCTCATAAAGTGCTGCATAAGAATGAGAATCTGACTTTGATCTCCAGATTCCATATAAAAGGTGGAGCATAGTATGTGCTGGTTGGGGATACTGAGGCCAGAAGACCCTGGGGCTTACTGGCTAGCTAGCCCGGCCCAATCTCTGAATGCCAGGTTTAGTGAAGGACTTTCTATCAAGAAATAAGGTAGAGAGGGGGCTGGAGAGATGGCTCAGGAGTTAAGAGCACGAACTGCTCTTCCAGAGGACCCAGATTCAGTTCCCAGCATCTATGTGGCAGTTTACAACTGTTGGTATCTCAGTTCCAGAGGATCTGACACAGAAAACAATGCATATCAAAGAAAAATAAATACAAATTTTTAAAAAGAAAGAAGGTGAGGGATGACTAAAGGTGAGGAGGAATATTCAAGATTGTCTTCTGGACTGTGCACCTGTGTGCACCTGCATTGAGTTGACCTTGTAGCCCGCCCACCCATGGGATACCCCTTCTTTATTGACCTGCTTGACTCAGCATTTCTGTTCATTCTTTTCCTGTTCCCTCTTGTTTTTATGGTATTTCACTTCTTTCTAGAATATTCTCCCAACAAAGCTCAAGCTGCTATCAGGGCCAGTGTCAGCCAGGTGTGTTTCCACTGTGCTAAGTCCTAGTATGTGCTAGGGTGTAGCTTAGTTCCTCCTCATCCGTCGTCCCCTCCTCAGCCCTGGTGCTCCACAACCTAGGTCAAGCTTCTTAAACTTTTTCCACTCGTGGCCATTATGAGAACTCAGGTGTGTAGGTATATGAAATAAGTATATAAATCAAGTATTTATTCATAAATTATACATTTATTTAATGCTATTCTTGTATATATATATAATTTTACCACTTATTAAAGATGGCTGCAAATTGCATACTGGTGGGATGGGTGTGCTTGTTGCCATGATTCATCTGAAAGATGTACTGATTTGACCATTATGTAATAGTGATTTTAGGACAATAGTTAGTCTTTGTTTTCTGTAATTTAGCCATTATGCTTCCATGAGATTGGAAAAGTTTGTATGCATAGTTACAGTACTGCTGTTTGTAACTCTCCCGGTTCGCCTTGTATGACCGTGGTAAACACCACAACCATAAGCAACTTGAAGGAAAGGGTTGATTTACACTTCCACTCCATGGTCGATCACCAGTCAGGGCAGGAGCCTGGAACCAGGAACTGAAGCAGAAGCCAGGGAGGAATGCTTTTACTGGCTTGCTCCTCCAGGCCTGCTCAGTTACCTGTATATACAAGCCAAGCCCACCTGCCTGGGGATAGCACTTACCACTGTGGCCTGGGCCCTCCTGGATCATTAAGGAGATGTCCTACAGTCATGCTCACAGATCAGATAGAAATAATTTCTCCACTGACTTTTGTCTACTTGCATGTCTTCAGCCTGTGTCAAGTTGACAAAATCTATCAAGTACAATAGCATACCATAGTCATATCATAGAGTTGAGTTGCTTCGGGCAGTATTCGGGGTGTTGTGTGGTAGCAAGTGTGCACTGTGTGTTAAGAACCCAGGCTGCCATGAGATTGTGCAATACTACATGGATGAGCACTTTCAGCAAACCTTGGATTCATTGCACATTTGAGTTTGAATTTTTGATCTTTGAATATCCAGAAGCCTTTTACTGTCAAAATACTTTGATGCCTGTATTCAGTTGGTGTGTGATGTTGCAACTCAGTGCAGGAAGCCTCCACCACAGACAACACTGGGGATATGTCAGGAGAGGAATGCAGGCCTGTACTTCATTCATTTGGAACTGTCTGCTTTGCTTCCCAGGTACCCAGATAAGCTGCTTCTCCCCGAGTTCTTTCTCCTGGCGACAGGCTGCCTTTGTGGATTCATACTGCTGGGCTGCAGTGCAGCAGAAGACTTCCCTGCAGAGTGAGTCCGGAAACCTCCCCCTGTGGCTGCACAAGGTAATGAGATGCTGTCACACCTGCCATCCTTGCTCTCTAGATAGAGAAGTGGAAGCCTGGGAAGGCTGTGCCAGCCGTGGCCATGCAAGAGTGTGTGGTCAGCCAAACAGGACTCAGCCTCAGCAGTGACTGCATCCAACATGGATGTGGAGCAGATAAGAAATAGATGCTCTCTGAGTTTCAGCTATTTAATGAGAGGCACCTTGTACGTCTTTGTCTTCTTTGTGTCTTTAATTCCCCTGCAGAATGTTGGCTAGAGTCTTTTATGCCACACAGGGTCACTTTGAAAACATAAAGACTAACATAGTTGGCTTGCTTCTGGCCATTGTGTTGCTGGAGTACCAGAACTCCGGCTGGGAATCCCGGCTGCATAGCTCTTGGTTGGGTTTCTGGTAAGTGGATGTACTGAATGGAAGGAGAGATTCTACACAAGAGGCATTACCAGCCAGGCGGTTCAGGTTAGAGAGAAGAGGTGCAGGTCCGGGGAGTGTTGGGTGTGGGGGATACAGACACTGGAGAGTAAGGAACTGCAGCCAGAGCTAGCACTCTTAAGTGATCACTGGATACCTTCAGTCTTGTCAGGGAGTAGTGATGTGACATCTGTGAGCGATGATGTGACATCTCGGGTCTTCAGTGAGGATGCCACTCTTCTGTGAACAGTGATGTCACACTCTGGGTCTACCTTGTGAGTGATAGACACCTTCGGTCTTCTCTGCACACACAAAGACAAGACTGCTTTAGCCTGTCCTTCACCCACTGGTTATTTTGTCCTTCATAAAAACCAACTAGAACATTTGTATCTTCTGATGCTCTAATCTACTGAAGAAAACACAGGCGAGTATCTTCTGCAGTGCCAGAGTTGACCGAAGACCCTCTGCTACTGTAGCTGCGTCTGGACACCCAGTCAGCATTCTTCTCTTACAAGACTCCTTTCTTCGTGCTCTGACTCATGCTGGCTCTGACCCTGCTTTCCCCCACACCTGTGTATCGCACAGTTGGCATGGAGGTAGCACGTGATGACTGTTGGCCCTTTTCCCTTTGATTTGCAGTCTGAGTGCTGGGTGGGTTCTCATTGGCCTTGTGTGTCAGCGCATTGTCTTGTAAGAACCTTCAGCACAGGTGGGCACACTTGCAGAAGGTAAGAAGCTTTGTAAATCTCAGTCCGTGCTGCTGTGGTTTAAGTCCGTGTTAAAATGTCATTGTGGAAATGCCACGTTGCAGCCAGTCTGAGTTGGCATTGGCTGAGCCTCAGACTGTAGCAGGGATTACTTAAGGTAAGAGCAAGGAAAACCCTGCAGAGTTTTTTCTAGATGTTTTTCATAGGAAGCACTACTGGGGCCTTGAGAGACAAGGCCTGGGGTCGTAGAGTATTCTGAGGCTGTACAAACAGAACCCGGGTCTGCAGACTCCCTCAGGCGACCTGCTGTGAGGAGCCACGAGGCTCTTTCGGTGCTGAGCTCATTGGCTATGGTGGTTCGAAGTGTCTCAGCTCTTACCAGGCTCACAGGACTGGGAACAGAAATTGAAGAAACCTGCCTGGTCAACACTCAGGCTTGGCTGGGAGTGAGGGGCTCCCTCGCAGGGATTAGAGTACTGGTCTGCGTCATTTCAGTGCCTAGAGAATGAGACCACTTGGGCACTGATGATGTCTCTGAGTTATATGCCTGCCAGAAGTGAGGCTGTGTCCTCCCTGGAGGGAGGAGACATCCTCCAGAGCATCACCTGTGTGCTCTGTCTATTTATGCAGGCTGTTTGCCATTCACCAGACATACCACAAATACAGGACGACCCAGAGAAAACTCACACGCAGAAACAGACTCATAGGAGGTCTTGATCAGACCCATCGCTAATAGCAAGGGACTCTGAGATATACGGAGGATGTCTCAGGGAACTAGAGAAATCAAAAGGAGGTTTTCAAGCTGCAGACAGTGGCATGGAGTTCCTTTTAGCTGATGTTGATTGAGGGCCCTCATTCTAGGACATGTGCTTGACACCAGTGGGCCACAGGTGATGTCTCAGATTCTCCAAGTTCCCTGGTGGTGAGGTGAACACACAAGAAAATACTTAGAAAGCGAGTCAGAAAAGATAAAATGTGGGTTTCCCAGAAACCCAGGGACTGAGCTGTGAGCTCTCCCATCCCTCTGCTGTTTTCTGGGTAGAGCCGAGCTTACTGATCTGTTGTTCCTTGGTGTTCCTGCCGCAGGGCATTAGTGGAGAAACAACAGCCAGGTGGTTGTGTGAGGAGTGAGAGTATAGAAGAAATGATGACGTAAAACAAAAACCCTGGCTCGGTTCTTCACAGGAAACGCGCCTTCGTTGTACACAGCTGGGTGGGAGCAGGAGGGATGGTCGTGTTCAGGAAAATTGTGTAACGTAAGTCCTGAGAATGAAGTGGATGAGAGGCTGGGGAAGACACTAAAGATGCTGAACCAACAGGTGCAGTGGGACTGCCTAGGGCAGCACTTCTCAACCGGTAGGTTGCAGCCTCTTCGGGGGAGTTGCATATCAGATATCCTGCATATCAAATATTTACATTACGATTCATAACAGGAGCCAAATTACAGTTATGAAGTAGCAACGAAATAGTTTTATGGTGACCATGGCACGAGGAACTATTAAAGAGTCATAGCATTAGGAAGGTTGAGAACTACTGGCCTAGGGAGTGTGGGGTGAGGCACTCCTCTGGAGATGCTTTGTCCTGTTAGGGACCGGGATGGCAGTAACAGACTGGAATGGAGGCAAGGTTATGGAGAGCAGGATCTGTGACCGCCAGACAGCCATATGGCAAAATGCATGGTCCTCAGGAGAGTGTGCTTGGTTCTAAGAGTTGGTCCTTAGAACCAGCTCTTGTTGCTTTGTTAGCAGTGGGAGGAGAGGCAGGGGAAGCCTAGCCAGTTACAGAGGTGGGTTCTGGTCTGCAGGAGGGGAGCAGGGAGAGTCTTAGCCAGGCACTAAAGAGAGTTTAGGTTGGGAAAGAAGAGAGGGGATGTGGGGAGACCCTAGTGAGTCAGAGAGGAGAGGCACGGAGACCACTAACCAGACTCAGGGAAGGTTCGGTCAGGACAGAAGAGGAAGGAAGCAGGTGTTTCTGAGAAGGGAAAGAGCAAACAGCGAGCAGGACTTGGTATCACACAGCTGACTACAAGATGACACTGTAGGATCTTGTAGGGGACACCGAGAGCCTATGCCAGGGGTCAGCAAACCTGTGTGGACAGCCAGTCAGTAAAGTCACACAGTCACTGTTGAAGCTACCCCAGGGAGACAGGCACTGTGTTCATGCTTAGCTGTGCTGTGGTAGCAGCTGACCAACCAGTGGGGTTGCATGCCTGGGGATACGGGCAGAGGGCCCATTCCAGGTGTCTGGGGCGCTGATGTAAGCCACCTCCATAAGTTGAATTTGTCAAGGTATTTTATCACAGCAAGAGAAATGAACTAAAACAGGCATGGGATTGCAGGTCTGAGTAGCCCTCTCCACAGTGGCACACCGATGCACAGGCTTACACTATCTGAGGAACAGCACTCTAATCTGGTGGTGCCCACTCAGGGCTCCAAGCCAGGCCAGAGTCTTGCAAGATCCTGACAACAACCACATTCTTGGCATTAGCCACAAGTGTGGGTGGAGCTCAGACCCCTGTGCTAATTGGACATGGGAGGCTGAGGGGAGAATCAGAGCCAGGGTGTGAGCCAGGATTGTCACTGGCTGCAGGAAATCTGAGGAGAAGTGGATGGCTCTGCTAATCTCTTGGCTAGAGCTGTTCCTGGGCTCCTAGGATGTAGTGAGTAGACAGAAGATACGGTGTTCACAGTGCATTGGCGTGTCAGGGTGTGTGTAAGCTGTAGATGTAGAAGGGATGGTGTCTGTTTAGTTCCTTTCTGCTTTCTCTGTGATAAAATACTGAGGAAAAGCAACATGGAGAGGAAAGGATTTATGTGGTTCATGTCCAGGTTATAATCTGCCACTGGGGAAGTGAGAACAGGGAGTTGAGTCAGGAACCATGAAGGAACACTGCTTGCTGGCTCACTCTCTGGTTCACGCTCAGGCTCACGCTTAACGCTTGCTTGCACAACCTAGCACTAGCTGCACAGGGAGTGGTGTTGCCTGAAACAGGGTGGTCCCCCTTACATCAATTAATAATCCTGACAGCCACACCCCCAGGCCACTCTAAGCTAGGCAGTTCATTTGAGGCTCTCTCATCAGGTGACTATAAGCTCTATCAAGCTGACAATCAAAGCTAATTAGGACAGAATCTCAGGGGCACTGGAGTGGAGAGTTGGTGGGACAAGAGAGACCCACAGAAGACAGGTCTGGGGTGGAGAGGCAAACAGAAAGCTGTCCTGTAGAGTAAAGAGCAGGTTGTCCTATACGTAACAGCTTGTCAGTACAGTAGCATGAGCCAGATGCTTCCTGGGGTATGCTGGGGCAGAGACCAAGAGAAAGGACATGGGTGTGGTGTCATGGGTTGAATTTTGTCATCCAAAAGGTTATGTTCCCATCTTAACTCTGCGTACCTTAGAATATGACTTCAATTGAACAGATCTCTTGTCAGTGAGTTATGAGGACCAATCTGGAGTTGGTTGGTGTCCTCTTATGAGGAGAAAAATTGAACATAGACACACACACAAAGGAGAGACGATGTAGGAATACTTGTGGAGAAGGTGGCCTGTGAGAGGCAGTCTCCCCAGGGCCTTCGGAGGGAGCATCTTGTCCTACAGAACAGTCAGAGAAAAGACTCATTGTCCACAGTGTGTGGGATTTGATTGTGACAGTCCCGGAAATGAGCAGGGCTTAGAATCAAGGTGGCTCACTGTTTAAGTGTGTGTGTGCTCTGCTCTCCAGAGGACCTTAGTCTCTGAGGCTCTTAGTTTTAGCACCCATGTCAGGCAGCTGCCTATAGCTTCTGTTCTAGGGGATCTGACCCCATCTTTTGACCTTTATAGCACCCACACATACTGGTACACACACTCTCACACATAGACATAATTAAAAATAAAGTATGTCT